TCCTTCAACTCCTGAATATCACAAACTAAACCCGATTAATGTATTTTGATATCAGATTTGTCAAGATTGAATGAATGTCCGTACTCATCCAAAGAATCTTTCACAGATAAGTCAACAGGGACGGACCCAGAAATTTTTTCAAACGGTGGCACCATATAATTAATATAGTATAATATACATCTAAAAATAATTATAAAAAATATGGTTTTTATAGTACCGATAGGGCTGTAAACGAACCGAACGTTCAGCAAACCGTTCGTGAACCGTTCGGCGGGAAGTTCGTTTATTTAATAAATGAACGAACATGAACTATTTTTTTGTTCGTTTAGTTAAACGAACGAACATGAACAAGAGTCTCGTTTGTTCATTTACCGTTCGTTTATATATTAAGTTTAATATATTATCTTTTATTTATTTACTTTGAATTCAAATAATATTTATTTATGTTTGTTTATGTTCGTTTAGCCTGTTCGTTCGTTTACGTTCGTTTAGCATGTTTACGAACGAACACGAACACACCTTATTTCTAAACGAATGAATACGAACACATAGATTTTCGTTCGTTTACCGTTCGTGTTCGTTCGTTTGTTCGGTTAAGTTAAACGAACGAACATGAACAAGCCTCCGTTCGTGTTTGTTCGGTTCGTTTACAGCCCTAAGTACCGATAAACAACTTCTAAACTTGTACCCGACGCGTCTTCATCTTTTGAAAACGGTCAATATATACCCAAAAATAATTACAAAAAGTATGGTTTTGGTTATTTGGGCTTTGTTTTGTTTGGGTTTTAGTTGCACCATTTGGATTTCTGGGAAATACAGTAGCACCTTCTAAAATGATACGGTAGCACCTTCTAAAATGATACGGTAGCACCGTTAACAAACCTAAATTTTTTACCCTTCGGCGGCGAAATAATACGGTGACACGTGCCACCCATGCCACCACATCAGGTCCGCCCATGTAAGTCAACACAAGTTAGTAGCTCAACACCAAATTCTTCAAATCAACATCAATCTTTTCATCACATCTACAACGGATTTTCAACCCAATGTTCAAAAGATTTACATACAAACTTTTCCATGAAATGATTCAACAATTTACCGAAAAATGTTTAACTAGTAATTTCTTCTCAACATCAGCACTTGTTACAAACATCTCTTATAAACTTTTCATGTATTTGCATAGCCTTTCTCTTCTCTTCTTGTCTTTGATATGTCTTTGATGATATTTCTCCCCCTCATGAGGATTGAACATCACGAGTTATTACATACTAGAATTCCTCCCCATGTACATTGTTGATCCTATATCTACAACAAATCAAGAATTAAGACTGTAATTGAGAGATTGTAGATGAAGAAATTGATGAATCGGCCAGATTCTTTATTAATAGAAAGCAGGAAATACAATCTCTCTAGAAGCTTTAGTCGAATCTCATGGAATAGAATAAAAATGAAGAACTAACAATTCTAGCCCATTCACTTATTTATAGGTGATATATTCAATGTAAGCCCAATGCCCGTAGCCAATTACAAGAAATATTGCAATACAATACAATAGATTGCTTTAATAAAACTTTCATATTATTTAGGACAATTTTGGTCCTAACAATCCCCCCAAAGTTTTATAAAGCAAGCATATCTTAAGCTTTCAGGTCTTCTCCCCTCACTTTCTTTGAGAAAACTTTGGTGTGTCCAGATTTAATATAATCTTCAAGCTCCTCCCCGAATAAAACTCTTATCCTTTAGTGTCAACTTTGAAATAAGATCCAATGTGAATCCAGCACCACTTATTGCACAAAGTACAACTTCAACTGCAGACAACTCAACATAGTCCTTGAACCTCTGAATTATTGTCGGTCCACAAGCAATTAATTCATCCAACTATATGGATAGATAATGTGCGAGTTATGTGACATTGCAGTGCAAACAGTCTAAAAGTTCCCGTGTATCAAGAATAATAAGAATAGATTAAGAACAAAGAGTGTACGAGCGGTCAAAGGTTTCGATCTTTTATTGAAGATGAAAAAGTGCAGAGCAATTTGCTTACAACTCGAATAATTGAATGAATCATTATTGAAAAGAACAATATTCCTATCTATATAAAGAATCAATAAAATAAATAAACAATGAAACTGAATCCTGTAAACAAGGAGAGATAATCTCTATCGCAAATAAGGATCGGCATCATCCTCTCATTCAGAGTTAGAATAACTCTGAACTTAAGGTCTTCAGATTTCACACTTGGCACTCTTCGGGTCTTCTCTTGAAATAATCTTGAAGATTGTCTCTGCCCAAATACTAAAACTAGAAATAAGGAGAGCTTTGTTTTGAAAAATGAATCAATCGGCCTTACGACTACTAGGGCTGTAAACGAACCGAACGTTCAGCGAACCGTTCGTGAACCGTTCGGCGGGAAGTTCGTTTATGTTCGTTTATTTAATAAATGAACGAACATGAACAAAAAATTTTGTTCGTTTAGTTAAACGAACGAACATGAACAAGAGTCTCGTTCGTTCATTTATGTTCGTGAAC